TACATGATAAACTGTTTGTATAAAATTGCTCTGTGTTTGTGATCACTCCACCATTGGCTCCACTGGGCACCAGTATTCATTCTTGACACTGGAAACTGGGGGACCAGGGAACATCCAGATGAACCTAATAGAAGGGTTGGCTTACACGTCTTCACAAGTGTGTATTCAAATTCAACATGGGGGGTGGGGATAGGGAGTAGCCCCATTAGTAGACTTCTATGTTTTTCTGGTAAATCTGGAGAAGAGGAGTTGGGGAAGGAGGCTGGCATGGTTACAATTCTTCCCAAGGGGATAGGACAATGGGCACTGGTATGACAATACTTTTTTTTTTCCTTTCTTTTCCATATCATCTCAACTTTCTGTTTCCTACCTGATGAGGTGGTTATAGGACTATGGATGTAACTATTAATACAAGTGTTGGAAACTGGGATGATTCCTAAGCAAGAAACTGTGACTATATTTTTAAATCTTTATGTCAGAATTTCTAAAGGCCTCATGGGAGCAGGTTGTGCCTTTACCCTATCTGGCAAAGTTGGGGTCAAGAGTAAATGCAGCTGTATTGCCTAGTGGTCAAGATAGTCCACTAGTTCTGTCTTAATGTAACTCTACCCACCCTATGTAAATGGGAGTGGATCAAGAGGGAGGCATTTGCTAGATTAGTATTGCTACCTGCAATCTGGACCAGCACACTGGATTAACCTAATGTTCCTTCCAAATGTGGAAAAATTTGGTTATAAATGGAGAAAAGGAGGAATAGTAGATGAGGGTAAGGAATGAACAAATGGATTATGTAGTAAGAGAGATCCAGTATTATATCAATACCTCAAAAGAGGCTCAGAGCAAGAGATGATATTGTCTCTTAGCTCAATTATAGCAGATGCCTGAAAAGCTGAAGCCATATATTGCTGAGACCACTCCTCCTTTTGGAATCTGACAAGATCAAACAGAAACCTGAAAACCTCATTGTAGGAGACAATTTCATATGATATAATGATGGACTGGATAAATTATTAATGACTGAATGGGACTCTAGTAATGTGCCAGTATCTTTTAACTGTTATGGTACTTTTGTTATATGAGCAAAGACCAGGGATTTTTATACGACGGTATTATACTGTGGTGTAATAAATGTATTTGATCTTTGTCCCTGGTTCCTAGCACAAGAATCCTAAAACCCTTAGGAAAAAAAGATGGGCCAAAGACCTTCACAGATATCACACCAAAGAAGATATACAGATGGCAAATAAGCATACGAAACAATGCTCCACATTATATGTCATCAGGAAAATGCAAAATAAAGTACTAATGAGATACCACTGTATACCTATTGGAATGGCCAATATCCCAGACACTGACAACACCAAATGCTAGTGAGGATGTACAGCAACAGGAACTCTCATTTATTGCTGATGGGAATACAAAATGGTTTAGCCACTCTGGAAGACAGTTTGGTGGTTTCTTACAAAACTAAACACATAGTCTTATCATATGACCCAGCAATCATGCTCCTTGGTATTTACCCAAAGGAGTTAAAAACCTGCACAGGGATGATATAGCAGCTTTATTCATGATTGCCAAAACTTGGAAGCAGCCAAGATGTCCTTTCATAAGTAAATGGATAAATAAAATGTGGTACATTCACACAAAGGAACATTATTCAGTGCTATCAAGCCACAAAATTACATGGAGGAGCCTTAAAGGCATATTACTAAGTGACAGAAGCTAATGTGAAGAGGCTGTTTACTGTATGATTCAAACTATATAACATTCTGGAAAGGGCAAAACTATGGAGACAGTAAAGGGTTGATGGAGGAGGGATGAATAGGTGGAGCACAGAGGATTTTTAGGGCAGTGAAAATACTTTGTATGATGCTGTAATGATGGATACACATCCAAAATCATAGAATGTACAACATCAAGAGTGAACCCTACTGTAAACTATGGACTTTAGGTGATTATAATGTGTCAATTTTGGTTCATCAATTGTAATAATTGTACCACTCTGGTGGGAGATGTTGATAATGGGGGGGGGGGCCTATGGATGTGTTGGGAAGAGGGTATTTGGGAATATTGACCTTTCTCTCAATTTTTCTGTGAACCTAAAATTTTTCTAGAAAAATAAAGTCTTACAATTAAAAAATAAAATGAAATAAAAATTTAACAGAGAAAAGAGCCCATTTTGCTTTAACAAACAAATGAATATGAGAAAGTATTGGCAAACTCAACTAAGGAAATTTACAGGAAGTAGGATAGAGCATACTGTAAGACTGGCCTCATAAGGAAGGATCTAGTATTATGTAATAAAGACTGTGGTTCAGGAAAAGTAGCAGCTTTCTTAGGGATAAATCTTAGAAGTATGGTTTATATAAAATAACTTCTTATAGTACATTTTATTAATTTGAATTTCAGCTGAGCTAAATTTGATTTCTTCACTGTTTAGTTCAGTGACTCTATATGAAATAATCTAGAAAGGGCCCATTAATGCAAATAAATAGTACAAATAAGAACGAGGACACGGAAAAGGATAGATAATCTATTTAAGAGATAAACTACTTTAAAAAAATTTAGCGTATGAGTTGTCAGTACTTAGGTACATATTGCTAATTTATAATGATAGGAATTTTAGAACAGAAAGGAACTTTAAAAATTATACAGTCCAGGCCGGGCGCAGTGGCTCATGCCTGTAATCCTAGCACTCTGGGAGGCTGAGGCGGGCGGATTGCTTGAGGTCAGGAGTTCGAAATCAGCCTGAGCAAGAGCAAGACCCCATCTCTACTATAAATAGAAAGAAATTAGTTGGCCAACTAAGATATATATAGAGAAAAAATTAGCCGGGCAAGGTGGTGCATGGCTGTAGTCCCAGCTACTCGGGAGGCTGAGGCAGAGGATCACTTGAGCCCAGATGTTTGAGGTTGCTGTGAGCTAGGCTGACACCATGCACTCACTCTAGCCTGAGCAACAAACTGAGACTCTGTCTCAAAAAAAGAAATTATACAGTCCAACTTTTAAAATTTTATTAGGTGAGTGGGACTGCAAACTAGTTCAACCTCTGTGGAAAGCAATATGGAGATACCTTAAAGTGATACAAGTGGATCTACCGTTTGATCCAGCAATCCCATTACTGGACATCTACCCAAAAGAACAAAAGTCACTCTATGAAAAAGACACCTGCACTCAAATGTTTATAGCAGCACAACTCACAATTGCAAAGATGTGGAAACAACCCAAGTCCCCATCAATACGTGAGTGGATTAATAAAATGTGGTACATGTATACCCTGGAGTACTATTCAGCTATAAGAAACAATGGTGATATAGCACTTCTTGTATTTTCCTGGATAGAGCTGGAACCCATTATATTAAGTGAAGTATCCCAAGAATGGAAAAATAAGCACCACATGTACTCACCAGCAAATTGGTATTAACCAATCAACACCTAAGTGGACATATAGGAATAACATTTATCGCGTGTTGGGCAGGTGGGAGGGTGGAGGAGGAGATGGGTATATACATACATAATGAGTGCGATGCACACCAACTGGGGGATGGACACACTTGAAGCTCTGACTGGGGGTGGGGGCAAAGGCAATATACATAACCTTAACATTTGTACCCCCATAATATGCTGAAAAAAATAAACTAAAAAAAGAAAATAAAATTTTACAGATGAGGAAAATAATGCTTAGAGAAGTTAAATAAGTTTTCATTGCCTAAGGTAAACCAGAAGTTAATGAAACAGCCAAAACTAGAATTCAATTTTGTCCATACATGTTTCAGAATGTGTCTCTAAGAGATGAGGAATCTTTAAAAAAAAAAAAAAAAACCACCACACTACCATTATCATGCCTTAAAATTAATAATTTCTTAATATCATCAAATATTTGGCCATTATTCAATTCCAATTGCCTTATCTTTTTTTTTAAGTTTGTTTGAGTTCCCTTCTAATGGATTCATAGAGCTTATAAAGAAAAGGCAAAACTTATTTGTGCTTAGGTAAAATTTGTATTATGAAAAAGAAAGTGAGAAGTTGTCTGTGCAACATTATCTCAGTCACAGATATTGCCCAAAGAATTTAGTCGAAAAAATATATTGCCTCCAGTTGCAAATATATAAACCAAAAGTGAAGTAGAGATACACTATCTCACAGTGTTCTTATCCAACCAAAGAATGTAGAAATGGGTGATCTTTCTCTGAAAGTTATCCTTAATCAATACCTTGAATAGAGAGTTCTTTCAAATCATTAGGAGGTAGTGAGTTTTATGAATGAAAAATTGGTAACCAAATTCTTCCACAAATTGTTAAGTTCTTGATATCTTATGCCATAGAACCTGTGAGCACAAACATATTTGAATACTCCTCCCAGCTGACCTGATATAGAATCAGAATCAACAAGCCACACAGGTTATATGTTCTGTCGGAAAGTAACAGATATGTTTATATTTGAGCCATCTGTTAAGAAAGGAGGAAACAGATGCAACATCATAATTAGATCATAGACAATGTTCTTGAGGGCTTATTAAGTGGCTGGCACTCTAAATGTTTTACACGTATTAACTTATACTCAGGTTTCTCTGAAGATCACATAAATCTTTTTGCCTTTTACATGTTTAACTCATCAAGTTGTTACAGCAACCCAATGAGGTGGGTACTATTACCATCTTCATTTTACAGATTGGAAAACAGAAGCCCATAGAAGTTAATAAACTTGCCCAAGGTTACACATCAATAAATAGCACAGCCAGGATATGAATCCAGAAAGACTGGTCCCAAAGCCTGTATTGATCTTATCTACTAACTAAACGTCTCTCAATATGAGGTTTATATTGAAAGTTACTATAATTTTTGTTTTTTTGAGATGGGCTCTTGCTATGTTGCCCAGGCTGGTCTCAAATTCCTAGGAGCAAGCAATCCTGCCACCTCAAACCTCCCAATTAGCTGGGATTATAGGCATGTGCCTGGCTAATTTTTCTAATGGTGAATACATCTGTTGAAATAACTTACTTATTTTCAGATTCCAGCATTTGAAAAACTTTTGGAAGAACAAGACGAAACAAATACCTGTATGATAAAGTAATATAGAAAGTGATTCGTAGAAACAAACATGTGAAAAGAACATATACCAAGTTGTTAACAACCTTGATTATTCTAGGAGGCAGAATGAGAAAAGAGAGGACAAGGGGGAGATTAATTTTAAGAATTTTAAAACGGAACTGTTGCTTACAACAAATTGTTAAATGGTTCCATGGTTCATATGATTGCCCAAAATCACCCGCTAGAACATCAGGTATAGTGTACCAGTCTTTATATTTTTCTTTCTATAAAGGAACCTGGAACTGGCCTTTGGGTATCACATAAACTAGTATCACAATTCTTTGAAGGGCTCTGGCAGCACAATGACAAATGGACAAAATAAGATAGTTGGTAAAGTTTCAAACCCTAAAAAGCTTTAAAGAATACCATCTGTCCTGAATGATTTTAGATATTTACCTAAGTGAAGGCATGCAAGCACCTCAAGACTCCTTCTGACTCTTTTATCTCTGTGACTCCAATTCCCTTTGGAAGTGTGGCCTCAAGTGTAATTAACCAACAGGAGAACCAGTCTAAAACTCTCTGGTTTCCCATTTTTCACAGTGGCATTTTCTTAGTCACACCATTAGTAGTTATCAATTCCCAACCTCACCCTCCTCTGCCTAACTATTGTATGTAGAAGTTCTCTTTTGACAAATCATTTTCCTTCCCAGAAAGAGAGAAGAAGGACTATCAGATTCAACTTCTATCTTTTTTTTTTTTTTACTTTGAGTATCTGGGTTAACAGTTGTTACAGTAGGCATTGATCTCGTCGGCACTATTTCAGCAAAGCATAGACCAAGAGTAAAATGAGCACAGGAAACCCTTTCATTTCCACAGGATGTGGATTACTTACTTTAAAGCTGTAAGGACTTCTTGTGGGTCTTCTGAATGTTGAGCTAAATATTCCAAAGCTTTTCCTGCCACAATTTGTTGTCCATTCTAAAGTGAGCAAATATAATATATTAAATTACATCTCAATTGATACTTACAAAATGTTATCTATATTCCTGTCCATTAAGGATAATACAAAAATCTGAATATGTTCATTTTGTATTCTCAAAAGAGCTACTGCAAGATGGCAGAATGAAGATACAACTCATTGACAAAAACAAAACATGTTCATATTATCCCCAGAAACCCACTCCCCTCTATCGATGAATACTCACAGCCTTGCCAACACTGCCCACTAGGGCCAATGTTATTATGCTCTTTATCCCCATTTATTAGCAATAACCAGAAGAACCCTAGACTGTCAGGTTATCCTCATTTCTATCACTTGAATTCTCAAAAGGCTCTGTATATCTCCTCTTCTGTCCTCTTTTCCCACCTCTCCTCAACTCCTCCAATCCTTCCACTATGGTCTCTGAAATTCAGTCCACTCTCAGCAAAATCTCCTCTATGAGCAACATCTTCCCTGAAAATTCCCTCCACATTCTCGATCTAATGAAAATCTAGGTTTCTGCCAAGATACTGCTTCTACTGAAGCCCTTATGAGTGGTGGCTGTTTTTGCTCTCACTGCCCTAGTCTACTCCCCAGGCCTGGAGATGGAGTAGGGATCCTTCTTGCTCTTCATTGTCATTTAAAATTATCCTCCTATTCTATTTCCCAAAATCCCTAACATTAAATTTCCTGGCACCAGACTATCACCCACTATCCTTCTTTGTTGCTATAGTCTATCAACACCCAGGCTATTTCTTCTCATTTCTTGATGACTTGTTTACTGCTCAGTTATTTTCTCCAAAAACTACTCCTATCTTAATTTTTTGGCACTTTCAATGTATAGGTAGATGATCCACCCAATATCCCAGATTATTAGTTTCTTGAATTCCACTCTGCTAATTACCTTAGCCATTCACACTCACAGTCACTCACTAGACCCTCTCATTACTAATAATTGCAACCCTGCCATACTCTCAGTCAGGGGTGGGAAGAAGGTGAGCCAGGTGAGTTACTGAAGCACCTAGGGTGAAAAATTTAAGGAGGCACTCACTCTCAGTGTCATACAAGTAGCAAGCCTGCACTTGCACGATCTTGAGAATGGGTGCCTCCTTGAGTTTTGTGCCCTAGGAGCCTCACTCCCTCAGCCTAGTCCCCAACCCCAGCTCTCAGTTCATGTACTCCACTTTCTGTCCACTGCCTCTTACCTTTTCAACTTGTTCCCTCTATTACATGACTCTAACAATAATTCAACTGCAATAAGACCACTAACCCACTGATGGTACCAATTTTTCAGTGTTCCTCATCTTCTTGATGTCCTCCTCCAAACTCAGTTTAAATTCCATGGAGACTAAGTATAACCACTCTCTTGTTCCTTGATTTTCCTGCCTTTCTTTTGCTTCAGTGTATTCATCTGACAAAACCACAAGTCTGATTAAGTTCAACTTTCTACTGATTTTATGTCTACATCCATTCAACTGAATGTGGCCAGAAAAAAATCCATATAAGTACTTATTTTATTTTAAAATTTCGTCAAATGGTTCTGAATGCTACTGGCAAGCAAATCACACTTTCCTAGTCATTCACTTTCCTGCTTTCTGGATAATTAGTTTATATCTTATCCTATCTTCTCAATCCCCCAATACCTCCTCTCCCAAGCTCATCACTTGAGAGTAAGAATGGGAGAGAAAAAAGGAAGAGGAATTAGCAAAGGATAATGAAAGAGAGTGGCTCATGAATTAGGAGGAAAACAAGGATAATGTGGTGTCCTGGAAGCCAAATGTGTTTCAAGGAAGAAAGAGTAATCAACTGTTGAATGTTGTTGACAGGTCAAATACAAGGAGGACTGAGAATTAACCACTGCAATTTACAATACAGAGGTCATTTGTGACCCTTAGAAAAGGAATTTTGGTAGAGTGGAGGGGCAAAAGTCTGATTGGAGTAAGCTCAAGAGAGAATTGGAGGAAAGGAATTGGAGATAGTGAGTATAGATAACTCTAGAGGAATTTAGCTACAAAGGGAAGAAAAAAAGTCAGGCAGTAGTTGGTGAGAGGAGGGTCAAGAGGTGTTTTTGCTTTTTGTTTGCTTGAAATGGGATAAATGAGAATGTTTATATGCTCATGGGAATGATCCAGTAAGAGAACAAAATACTGACAACATGAGAGAGGAAAAGACAAGAGGTGATGGAAACTATGACAACAGTTGAGAAGGCAGACTGTGTGGTGTGATTCTTGATGTGTAAGTGGAAGTGGTAGAGGGAATCTGTGGAAATTCTCTTCCTGACTGCTTCAGCTTTCAGAACCTAGAATAACCACATTGTCTCTTGTGTGCATGGGGGATAAATTTTGTAAAAGAATTTAAAGATAGGTAGCTTATTTTAAGAGAAGAGAAAACAATGTTGTACCTGCTTAATATCCCACCCTCGCTACCCTTGTCTATACTCTTATCACCTTCAGACTGCATTATTACCATAGTCTCCCATCCTGTCCTGCCTCTATTTTCTCCCCATTTAGCTCCCCAGGCACAACCCAAATTATTTTCCTGAAGCACTACTTTTATATGAATTACCATCAACATTTTCTTATTGTTTAGAGAATAAAACTTATATACAATCTGGTCACAGCTATCTCTACTACTTTATCTTATACTCTTCTCCTATGTCATCATCATAACAATACAAGCCCCTATTACATTAGGCATAAGAACTGGAATGGTGGAGACGTAAGTCTTCCATCACTCTAACCAAATACAGTGTTTCTCAAGGCGATCACATTCCTTTTTCCATGTCTTGTTTATACCACCCCATCCTTTAAAAATGTTCTTATATAGAAAATTTTTGTTGCCCTTTTCAAAGGCCAACTTGAAGTTTTCCTCCACTGTAGAGACTTCCCAAATCAATTCCAGTTGTCAGTGCTCTCTTACTACTCTAAATTTCAGTAATTTTAATATGTATATTAGTTCCTAGGTCGTTATCATATATACCGCCTTACATTGCTAAGGCATGGCTTGTCTGTTCAAATTGACTTGTGAGATCCTTGCGGACCATATTTCTAGCACCTAGCCCAATATCTTGCCCAAAGTAGTTGCTAAATACAGTGTGAATGGTATGTATTTTGATATTGATGAGTAGGGTAATAAAACTCCTGAAGGAAAAAAAATATTTGGCAGATGCAGATACAGGATGTATTTGTGCAGGATGGGGAGGAAGAGGAAAGAGAGACATCTGTGTGGGGAAATCAGAGGCAATTAATTATCTTTTTAAAGGAAGGTTTATAAATTTACATTTGTTATAGAAAGTTGGAACCAGAATTATGGAATTGTAGTTGCAATCAGGAAGGTGGTTTTTATACAGGAGAAAGAATCAGAAACTAAAGTAATTTAAATTTACAAATCACATTCTCAGCCATCTTCTTAGTTAATTTTCATAATAATCCCAGAGGTATTATCTCTATTTTTGCAAATAATGAAACTAAGATTTGGGGAAGGCCAGGTGCAGTGGCTCACACCTGTAATCCTAGCACTCTGGGAGGTCAAGGCGAGAGGATTGCTTTAGATCAGGAGTTTGAGACCAGCCTGACCAAGAGTGAGACACCATCTCTACTAAAAATAGAAAAAATTAGCCAGGCCTGGTGGCGTGCACCTGTAGTCCCAGCTACTCGGGAGGCTGAGGCAGAAGGATCACTTGAGCCCAGGAGTTTGAGGTTGCTGTGAGCTAGGCTGACGCCACGGCACTCTACTCTAGCCTGGGCAACAAAGCGAGACTCTGTCTCAAAAAAAAAAAAATAAAAAAAAAAGATTTGAAGAAATTAAGCACTTATTAGGTGACAGAGCCAGTACTCAAACCCAGTCCAAGACTCTGGAGCTGCTACTGTGCTTTCCTAATCCTATATATTCATAAGACCAGAATTTTGCAACACACATAGGTGCAACTATTTATTAGTTCTAAACTAACACTGTTTTATGGTTATGAACTAAAAAGGTCCACAGAAATTTAAACTATTTTGTTCAAATTGATGGCAAAGATAAGTTTTCAAATATTTAATAGATACCTATTTATTTGCATGGTATCACATTTTAAATCTGGAGGGTTTTTATTCTTTTTACTTTTTTTTTTTTTTTTTTTTTTTTTTGAGACAGGGTCTTGCTCTGTCACTCCGGCTAGAGTGCAGTGGTGTCATGATAGTTCACTGCAACTTCAAACTCCTGGACACCAGCGATCCTCCTGTCTCAGCTTCCTACTGGGACTACAGGCACATGCCACTAGGCCCAGCTACTTTTTCTATTTTTTATAGAGACATGGTCTCACTCTTGCTCAGGCTGGTCTCAAACTCCTGACCTCAACCAATCCTCCTGCACTGGCCTCCCAAAGTGCTAGGATTACAGGCGTGAGCCACATCTGGCCTGGAGTTTCTTTTAAAAATTAATGTTTTGCTATGTTTATTTTTCTGTTGTTTTGAGTACAACTCTGATACCTCACTATTTCATTTACTTAAGTCTGCATTATAAAAAAATAAAGAGAAATAAAGCAATTCTGCAACCAAGCCTGGTGAGAAAATAAGAAGCAAAACAAATAGTAAAGGTAAGTCTCTTCTGTGCCTCACTGATGATGATTCTATTGATTGTCTTTCAAAAAGAAAAAGAGGTAAAAATCTAGTAGATGGATACATATGAGTTACCTCCAGAGCAAACTGGGCAGCTAAACTTAGAAGCACAGTAGGTGAACTTCTATCTGTAAGTAGGTCATTATCTTCTAGCTCTTTATCTGTTAATAAATTCTTTAAAGTAGTGATTGCTTGCAAAGCTGAAAAACAAGGAAACAATTAAAAAATGAAATACTCTAATCAAAGATAATACCTACTTATAGTTAACCATACTGCAATGAATTTGGAACTTATTTAAAAGCATTAATATCTTTAAAATATTAGTTAATATTCATAAAGTAATATGAGTTGGTAAATTGTCCAGGAGGATTTGAATACCAGAAAAATGCTCAACTGAACAACTGCACTTCTGTGAATCTATCTTATGGATATATTTGCAAAAGTAAATACATACAAGGACATTGATCCAGCATGATTTATAAGAGTAAAATATAGAATCAACCTAAATTCCATCAATAATGGATGGGCTAAATACATCTTGATACACCCATAAAATTGTATAATATAGAATGAAGTTAATAATTGAATGGCTGTTTTATATTCCGTTATATGTCTTAAAGGTAGACTGTGACAAGTTAAATATGGGTACTATAGACTTTAAGTAACAAATAAATAAAAAACAGTTCTAGCTAATAAGCCAAAAAAGGAGATAAATGTAATCATAAAAATTAATTAATCCAAAAGAAAGCAGAAAAAAAGGAAAAAGCAATAAAATACAGATGCGACAAATAGAAGACAAATAATAAAATGCTGAATTTAAATCAAACCATATTAATTATCATTTTAAATATAAATGACTCAAATATAAGGCAGAGATAATCATATTAGAAAAAACAAAACAAAACACAACCCATAAGAAATACACTTTGGCTGGCACAGTGGCTCATGCCTGTAATCTTAGCACTCTGGGAGGCCGAGGGAGGAGGATTCCTTAAAGTAAGGTGTTCAAAACCAACCTGAGACTCCGTCTCTACTAAAAATACAAAAAATTAGGTGGGTGTGGTGGTGCACGCCTATAGTCCCAGCTATTTGGAAGGCTTGAGCCCAGGAGTTTGAGGTTGCTGTGAGCTAGGCTGACATCATGGCACTCTAGCCCAGGAAACAGAGCAAGACTTTGTCTCAAAAAAAAATAATAATAATAATAATACACTTTAAATATAAAGATAAAATTGGTTAAAAGAAGAGGATGGGATAACATATACTATGGTAAAGGTAATCAAAAGAAAGTTGAAGTGGCTATATTAATATCATACAAAGTGAATTTCAGGGCAAAGTATATTACCAGTGATAGAAGGTTACTTCAAGATAATAAAAGAATCAATTCATCATTGGGGCATAATCTTAAATGTTTATGCACCCAGTAACACAATTTCAAAATATAAGAAGCAAAAACTGATAGAACTGCACAGAGAAATTAACAAATCTACAACTATAGTCTAAGATTTCAATATCCTCTCTCAATAACTGATAGAACAAGCAGACAGAAAATCAGCAAGGACATAGTGTGCTTAACACTACTGATAAACTTGACCTAACTGACATTTATAAAACACTCGACCCAACACCAGCAAAATATATATTCTTCTCAAGTGCACATGAAATATTTACCAAGAAAGACAATATTCTGGGCCATAGAGCAAGTCTCAATAAATTTAAAAGATTCAAGTCATATAAAGTATGATCTTTGACTACAATGAAATGAAATTAAAAATCAATAAAAGAATGTTCTCTGGAAAATCTGCAAGTATTTGGAAATAAATAATGAACTCTAAGTAATCCATGGGTTTATAAAGGAATCAAAAGTCAAATTAGAAAGTATATTGAACTGAATTAAAATGAAATACAACGTATCAAAATTTGTAGATTGTCACTAAAGCAGTAATTAGAAGGTAATTTATAGCATTAACTATATTAGACCAGAATAAAGGTGTTAAATCAATGACTTCAGCTTTCACCTTTGGAAATTGGAAAAAAAGAGCAAATGAAACTCAAATAAAGCAGAAGAATGGATATGATAAAGATTAGAGTGTAAATAAATGAAATAGAAATAAGAAAAAACAAATAGAGAAAAATTAATAATTAATTAAAAATTAATAAAACTAAAAGCTGATTTCCTTGAAAAGGTCAATAAAATCAATCAACTTCTAGCTATATTGGCTAGGAAAAAAAGAAAGAAGACACAAATTACAAATATCAGGAATAAGAAATGTGACACCACTATAAGTTTTACAGATGTTAAAGAGATAAAATAAGGACATTATGAGCAACTTTAGGCCAATAATTTTGACAACTGAGATGAAACACACAAATTTTTGAAAGACACAATCTACCAAAGCTAAATCAAGAAATAATAGATAACCTGAATATCCCTATATCTATAAAGAAATTTAATTAATAATTAAATTATTTTTATAATATATAATTAAATTAAATTATAAATTATAAATTATTAATTAATAATTAAATTAATTCTCATGAAGAAAACTCCAGTCCTAGATGGCTTCACTAGTGAAATCTACAAAACATTTAAGGAAGAAATAATACTAATTCAACATAAACTCTTCCAGAAAATTGAAAAGGACAGTATACTCTTCAATTCATTCTATGAAGTCAGTATTACTCTGATAGCAAAACCAAAAACATTACAGGAAAATAAAACTACAGACTAATATCACTGAGAGACATAGGCACATATATTCTAAACTATGAGCAAATCAAGTTATATAAAAAAGAGACTACATCATGACCAAGTGGGACTTATCCCAGAAATGTAGCATTGGTTTAACAGTTAAAAATCAATCAATGAACACATTAACACACTTCTTAAAAAAAAAATTTGGTCATTTCAACAGACGCAGAAAAACCACATGACCAAATTCAACATCCATTACTGATTTAAAAAAAAAAAAAAAACCTCCCCAGGAAACAAGAAATAGAAAAGAACTTCCTCAACCTGGTAAGAAGAATGTATGAAAAACCCAAAGCTAACATCATACTTAATGGTGGAAGACTGAAATGCATTTCCCGGCTATCAGGAAAAAATAAGGATGTCCACTCTCACTAATTTTACTTAACATTTTACTGGAGAATCTAACAAGAGCAACAAAGCAATAAAAAAATAAGTTGTACCCAGAATTAAAAGGAAGAAGTGAAATTATCTTTGTTTGCAGACAACAAGAATATCTATGTAGAAAATGTGACGGAATCTACAAGAAAGCTACTGGAACTAATAAGTGAGCTTACCAAAGTTGTAGAATATAAGATCAATATAAAAATCATTTGTATTCTTATATACTAGCAACAAGCAATCAGAAACTGAAGTTGTTAAAAATGCCATTTAAAATAGCATAAAATACAATATACTTAGGGATAAATCTGACAAAAGATACACAAGACAGGTGCAATGAAAAGTGGAAAATGTCAGACAGAAATTAAAGAAGACCTAAATAAATGGAAATATATAACTTGTTCATGGTCTGGAAGACTCAATAATGTTAAGATGTCAATTCTCTCCAGGCTGATCTATAGATTCAATGTAATCCCTATCAGAATTCATTTGTGAGTAAAAATTTAAAAACTGATTCTAAAATTCATATGGATAAATTAATACAAAATACTTGGAACAGCCAAAATAATTTGAAAGAGAACAAAGTTGAAGGACTAACACTACATGACTTCAAATTTATTATACAGCTCCACTAATCAAGACAGCGTGGGAAGGGTGTGAAGACAGATGAATAGATGAATGGAACAGAATAAAGAGTCCAGAAAGAGATCCACAGAAATATGACAACTAATTTTTGATGAAAGTGCAAAGGAAATTCAATTGATAAAGAGTAGTTTGTCAAATGATGATGGAACAATTGGATAGTCATGTGCAAAAAAAATTAACTTCAATCCATACCTTAAATCAAATGCAAAACTTAACTCAAAATGAAACTTCTGCTCATGAAATATGGTGTTAAGAAAATAAAAAGAAAAATTTGCAAAACATATACCTGATAAAGAACTTGTGTCCACCAAACATCATCAAGATGGTGGAATAGGACTTTCCAGCACTCATCCCCTGCAAAAACATTAATTTGAACAACTATCTACATGTGAAAATACCTTCACAAGAGCTAAGGAAACTAGGCGAGAGATTCCAGCACCTGGCTGTAGCACAGAAATAAGAAAATATGCATGGAAGAGTATAGGCAGAACAGTTTTATTACCCCTCTCCCACAACCTAGGCCACACAATACAAAGAGAAATAACCTCCACTTATGGGAAGGAGAGGAAAGTGAGCACCAGACTTTGTTTCAGAACTCAACACTGAGTTAGCCTCAATAAAAACCAGCACTGGGTAGGCCCCCATGGCTCCAGATTCTATGTTATATCCCACAGACCCAGGCTTTAGACCTGGCCCAAGGACTCAGACTCTGGGACTGCCACACCCCAAGGCCAACCCAAGTGGTCCTAGGCTCCAGACTGACTCCAGTGCAGAACTAGGCCCATTGGTCCTAGGCTTTGGGCCTACCCCAGAGCCAGTCCTAAAAGACCCAGGCTTTAGGCCTTCCCTAAAGACCCAGTCTAAGGCTCTGTCTCTAGGACCAGGTTGGCCCCAGTGGCCCTGGGCATCAAATCACCTCCAGCATGACTTTGGCCCCCACACTCCCAAGCTTCAGGTCTGCCCCAGTACTAGATCAGCCCCACAGTCCTAGTCATCAGGCTGGCCCCTGGGCATAAAGGCTCCAGGCCTACCCAGTATCAGGATAGTCCCTGCAGCTTCAGGATTCAGACCCACTCCAGGTTTCAAACCACCTCAGAGCCAGGTCAGCTCACAGAGCCCAGTACTAGGACTGCACCCCTGGATTCAAGTACCAGGATGGCACCCATGGACACAGGCTCCAAGCCAAGTCTCTGACTAATCTTTGCAGCTCCACCCTCCAGGTTAGCTCCGGTGAACTCATACTCCTGAATAGGCAGGGTCCAGGCCTGTTCCAACAGACCCAGATTCCAGGCCTGTTCCAATAGACCCCAGTCCTGGGCCCACCACCAGGGACCAAGTCTCTAAGACTATCCCTCTGCAGTCAAGTTCCAGGATAGCCTCCACAGCAGCAGGACCCAGGTCAGACCTCACAGATCTAGCCTCCAGGCC